TCTAACCATACCCTTAAACCTAAACCTAACCTTAAATATAACCCTAACCCGAACTTTAACCTTAACAAAAACCATAACCCTACCCCTGACCATAACCGTAACCCTAACCTTAACCATAATCCGAATCCTAACCCTAAATCGAACCATAACCATAATCCGAACCCTAACCATAACCATAACCATGACCCTAACCATAACCATAACCCTAAACATAACCCTAACCATAACCCGAACCATAAACCTGTCCATAACCTTAATCATAACACAACCCTTAACTCTAATCCTAATCATAACTCTTAACTCTAATCCTAACCATAACCCTGACCCTAACCATAACCAAAACCCTAACTATAACCCGAACCCTAACCCTAGCCATAACCATAATCCCGACCCTAAGCCTAACCACACCCCAAACCCCGAGCCCAGCCCGTTGCGCACTCACGGTGATGTCCTGCCGCGTTTTGAAGGTGTTGATGTAGTGGCTGTAATGGAAATCGTCCATCTGCCGCAAGATGGCCGTCATGCAGGCCACAAAAATACCCTGAAACGTGAAAAAACAAAATATTGGGTTATTGATCCGACCGGTGAGAGTGGGGTATTGATCTGATCGGTGAGATTGGGGTATTGATCAACCGGTGAGATTGGGGTATCGATCTGATCGGTGAGATTGGGGTATTGATCTGATGGGAACGGGTGAGATTGGGTTATTGATCCAACCAGTGAGATGGGGTTATTGATCCGATGGGAACAGGTGACACTGGGTTATTGACCAATGAGTGAGATTGGGTTATTGATCCGACGGGTGAGATGGGGTTATTGATCCGACCAGTGAGATTGGGTTATTGATCAACGGGTGAGATTGGGTTATTGACCAATGGATGAGATTGGGTTATTGATCCGATGGGAACGGGTGAGATTGGGTTATTGATCAACGCGTGAGATTGGGGTATTGATCAATGGGTGAGATTGGGTTATTGATCTGACAGGTAAGATTGGGTCATTGATCAACGGGTGAGATTGGGTTATTGATCCCATGGGTGAGATTGGATTATTGATCCAATTTACACTCAGAGCTTCCAGGAACATCCCACAACCAAAGGGTGCTGGGGGATGGAGGGACTGGGAAGGGAGGGATGAGCTCACTGAGAGCTCCCAGGTGATGAATCCCACTGTTAAAGGGTTCTGGGGGATGGGAGGGATGCGCTCATCACTGAAAGCTCCCAGGGGATAAATCCCACTGTTAAAGGGTTCTGGGGGAGGGTGAGAAGGGAGGGATGAGCTCATCAGGCACTGCTGCACTCTCAGAGCTC